TCAGCCACCTGTCATTTATTGTTTCTACTGATTACAAGTTATGAGTGAAGTTGTCGACAAACTTGTAACATTAAGGGAATTCCTATTTAAAAAATTAAACCATCAGTAGGCGCAACTTTTTAAATTTTTTTTATAAGAATTTCTTTGTATATCATAAAATCCTATTGATATTCATAGATTCGATTACGAAGTACTATCATTTGATCATTTTTTTAACCGAAGGTATTCTCACATTTCAAAAATTAAACAAATATGTGAAACTGAACAAATTGAGAATAATTCGATTTCGTAACATTAACTTGTGAACGTAACTTATTTAATAACTAAATCTAGTTTATTGTATTGAAATTTTATAGAATCGCATCTATGCAACAAACTAGTTCATTGATTTCTATGAAACTACAAGACCCAATACAATGTAAGCACAATATAAATACACTGATTCAATAGCACGACGGAGCATTCAATTACACGTGTTGCTGTTACTAACTTTCGAACGAGAAAGTTTGGTTAGGTTAAAACGCCGAATTTGTACGACCTGTAGATTTGTCAATTATTTTCCGTAGATTCACCTTCATTTATATTTCATAAAGACAATCTTTAATTATCTTAAACAGAAGTACTGTATAAGATGGTTGTTTTCACTTGCAATAACTGCGGTGAAACATTGCAAAAACCAAAGGTTGCGAAGCATTACGAATTTCAATGCCGTTCCGCGCCTTTTGTAACATGTGTCGATTGTTTCAAAGATTTTCGGTAAGTAACTTGGACAAAACAGGATTTCTTCGTCGTGTTTTTTTCCGTAAGATGTATTTGTTTTTTATTCCAAGAGGTGATGAGTATGTGGTGCATACGAAGTGTAAAAGCGAGGCTGAGAGATATGGGGGCAAGGACTATGTTCCAAAAGCTAATGCAAATAAAGGTGAGAAAAAGCAAAAAGTGTGGATCGATGTAGTAAATAATTTATTAAATAGTGAAACAAATTTATCAATGGCGGAACGAAACTTTCTGAACATCTTGTCGAAATATGATAACATTCCACGTAAGAAAATCAAATTTTTAAACTTCATGAAGAATGTAGTAAGCAATAAAGTAAATAATCAGGTTGTTAATACTGTTTGGGATAAAATGGAAATGGCTTATAAGAGTATGCAAAATATTAATATGCAGGATGAAAAACAACAAGAAAATGGTAAGTTTTCGGTAGTTACTTTAATGTTAATTCAACTATAATTATAAACTCATAGAAAATATTCTTTGTACACAGATAAAGTAAATGAAAAGGTAAATAATGCAGATAATGTGAACACACACCAGGAAAACAATATAATTGAAAACCAAAATAATGAAAATATATATAGAGAAAATAGAAATGAGGATCATCTGAACAAAAATACAGTAAATAGTACAGAAAATGGTTGTAATGATGCTGTCAATAATATTAAAAAGAAGAAATCGAAAAAGAGGAGAGTGTCTGAAACAGTGGAGGAACAAATGAAAGAACCTATTGTCAAAAAAAAAAGTAGAAGTAGCGTAGAAGCACCTGCTGTAGAAGCTACGCAAGATCAAATTTTGAAGAAAAAAAACAAAGATATTACAAATGTATCTGTAAAAAAAAATGAAACTTCATTTTCTGAAACATCGGTCAATCAATGTGACAATACCACAGAAAAATCAACCTTCAGTTGGAAACATACTATTTTAGATATAGTGAAGAGCAAAGGAGAAATCTCCTTAAAAAAATTGCAAAAAAAAGTAATTTTACAGTATATGAATTCATGTTCAAATACTATATTGCAAGAAAAAGCAACTAGTAAATTCAATAAAAAACTAAAGAAGATATCAGAAATAGTCATTTCTGATGAAAAAGTAACATTAGCTTAATTAATTGATTGCGTGTTATTTTTATCATAAATTTCAACGTTTTTTTAAAATCACAAATTAATTTATGATATTTAACATATATCGTTCATTGAGACTTACTTTTACACATGCAAAGAAATCGATTTTATAGAATACTATTGTACAAGATGATTGTAGAAAAACATGTTTTTGTGATTTAAAAAAAACGTTGAAATTTATGATAAAAATAATACGCAATCAATTAATTTAAGCTAATGTTACTTTTTTTTAAATAAAATAAACAGATAAAACTTGTGGTATCACAGAATTTATTTAAAAGTAATCTACTAATAAACATGTATAAAATATATAAAATGACAACAATAAATGATACAATATCAATTTCTTACAGTTTATGTAATGTAAATAATTACATAAAATTATTGATATAGAACATGTTCGCTAAGAAACAACACCGGATATGGAACTTTTAAATAAATATTTTGAAATTAAATATTTGTTTTGTTGGATTAGATTTTATCAAGTCTTTAACATATTTATGATCTTTACAAAAGACTCTTTAGCGAGAAGAATATATTGAAATACCATTTGAAAGTGGATAAAAAAATTTGAAGCTTTAGTATTTCCATTAAACATTTGAAAACTTATCTAAATACCAAGCGTGATTACTCATGGTAGTTAAAAGGCCCCATTGAAGTACTTTGGAATCACTTGGACTAAAACTTATTAATTGTTGATCAAACAACTGAGTAACTGTTCCACCAAGTGCAGTAAGAATTGCAGTTCCTGCACAAATGTCCCACTTTTTTATTGCAGTCATATGAACATATGCCGTGGCGTTTCCACTTACAACTTCTAAGAATTTGTAACCTAAGTATAGATACTATAATAAATTCATTGATTCATAAAAGAAAAAGATTAGACTAAATGAAACTAAGAGAATTACCTGCACCAGCTGCCGAAATAATGTTCACATCTTTACCAAATGCAATCTTGGCAACATTGTAAATTTGGCCTGCATGTGATTGTGATATAATCAGTATTGGCGTTTTTTCATCTTCTAACTAATTTAAAAAGAAAGATTTTATAGAACATGTTTTTTATTACATTTTTAATGCATGTTACCTTATGTAATACTTGTAAATTTTTTGAAATTGCATGATTGGTCCATGACCAAAACAAGCTAGAATTTTGTTTTGTTTCAAATGGTTTATATATAACACCTATTACAGGTTTTCCTTTAACAGCAACGCAAACCATAGTCGTAATATATTGCAGCAAATTCTCTGGAAGGAAAATGATTTATTGAAATAGATTAGAGATAATTAATAGAACATATTATAAAAAGAGTATGATACATAAAAAGCTATGAATATTTGAAAAACCTGTAAACTCTTTTGTTGCATCTAAAGGATCAATCCACACAGTAATATCATCTGTATTGATAATTTCATCTTTAATATCATAATCATTTAAGACATTAATATTATCTTTTATATTTGACACTACAACTTTATCACAATTTTTTGATGTTTCCTCTGATATTACTGTTATGCTTGGAAATACTTCTAACAAGGAATGGTACATTGCGCAATGTGATTTATAGTCTGCCTCTGTTACTAAATCATTTAATCCTATCAAAATCAAAAATGGCACAAAGTCATTTATGCAATTATGTGCATTTAATATGTTTTAGATATTTATAATATGCATTTTCTAGATATATAATATCATGTATTATCCATGCATAAAATTACTTAATTACCCTCTTTTGTTTTTCCTTTGCTTTCTATTTCAAATTTTGCTTGATTGTGAACTGCTATCACTTCAGAACCACCAATTTCTGCTGCTGTTATAGCAGCAGCGAGAAGTAACTTTAAAGAAATGTTCTTGTCCCGTATATTTGTATATAAGAACCGATTTGTATACAAATACAACAGACTTAATGATATAATGACACCACAAATTATGGTTTTCCTCGTTCGGATATTCATTCTGATATGTATAATATGATTAAATTCTCACATTAAATTAATATGCAGGCGTAATTTCGATTTATTTAATACAGTGGAACATTTTAATTATCTCGTATGCGGCCATTTTTAATTCATCTGAAATCCCCAATAACATTGGATCTTTACAGTCTATATACAAGATCGGCACGAGACCTGAAAATTATGTGTGTATATTTTAATATTTTGTACATATTGATCGAAGTTTCGTTAAATTATTATAATAGGTTGATCCAAATGAAAGGAGAGCTGATCAATTTTTTTAAACATATTTCGTGATAACTTTATTTTAGTAAGGTTATATTAGGTTAAGTACATTGTAAATTTAATTTGTTAGCATAGTTCAATTTAAATAGGTAAGTTCAAATTCTCTAAGTTTTGTATTAAATTATAAAGAAATTAACGAGAATTAAGTTATGATAGATGTATTATTGAATTAAATCATTTATTTCGAAATGAATCGTGCTTTTATTTATCAAATACAAACTCTGCATTGTATACTTTACTTAGTCTTACATTATGAGATATTATTCAGGTCTCTGTGTAATTAAAGCATTTCTAGTAAACATCAGTAAACATCAAATCTTTTCACATTATTCTATAAAAGGATGAGTTTTATTGATCAATAATAATACATGTCAGAATTCTAATGACATTATGTGCAACTTAGCATATTTCGATTTAAAAAATAATGAACAGCATTCTGATTACCTTCAGAAACATAGAATTAAGTAATATTGTACATTCAGATATATATTTATGCTTATAGTTAATTTAGATTGCACACCGCAATATTCAGTTAAAATAATTGCTTATATTTTTTTTTTATCTAAACTGATATAGTGAGATATGAATACATAAATAAACAAGATAACAAGCATAATAATCTATATTTTTAAGGATACTATTTTAATAATGATTACTGTAATATATTAATTTGATACCATTCTATAGTGCATTTTCTACACAAATAATGAAACACTTTCATTGCTTGTTAGTATTATGCACTCTTCTTGGCTGCATTTTTTGCATTTTGTAATTTATGCTTTTTCTATTCAAAAGTGGGATAATATGTATCATTTATAATAACATCGTAATAATTTATAACTTGATAACTCACGCATTTTACATCACTCTTTTGTTGTAATAATAAGTAATATGCAGCCTTTGTTTTTTCTTTTTTTTTTATTCTCTAACTTATGCATCTAATTCTTTAAATACGTGATAAAATTACTTCAGCAATTTTGTCTATGAAATTTTAATAATAACTTTAAGACACGAAAAATGTCATTCCACTTGGTCCAGCATTAACTGCATATTGACAAGTTGTTAATAACTTTTGCAGTTGCTGTTACACATTGTCATCTGTTTAAAACATAACAGAAAATGCTGCATAATTTCCATAACAAATATTCGTTAAATAATCAAAAAATCTTGTTATTACATGTTATAAAAAAAATTCTGAACACAGAATTTACAATTATAATGTATCAATTTTATATAAATATATATATATATATATATATGTATGTATATACTTACCATGATACCACCATTTTGTTTTCTTTGGATTTTTACTGCATGTTTTAACATAAAAGGAATTATCAGGTGGCCTTTTCTGCAGTAAAAAATTACTTTTAAGCATATTTTTATTAGGTCCATGCAAAAAATTGTCTTTCTTACCTTTTCTTTACAACTGCTCAACATTGATACAATACTTAAACAAATGCTTTGTACACTCAAAGCCGGAGACCAATCTTCTGTTAAAATGGATAAGCAAATATGGCCATTGCTATAAATATGCGGATGTACCGGTATATTTCCACCTATGAAAGTCACTTCCGGTGAATCAAAAGGATATTTAGAGCTGAATCTAAATTGCAATTGAAATTGTTCGCCTTCGTATAAGGTGCCTTTTGCACCTTCCATGTGAACAATCCATTGTGTTAAATTTTGACTAGTAAGATCTTCATCGACATGTACACCTGGCGGGGGTTCACGTATTAAAGATGTTAACTCCTTCTGCAGCCTTCGCTGAAATGAAATTTTTTATATATAATGGAACTATTTAAGGTTCTTACTACTTAAAATCCAATCATACATTGAAACTGTATAAACTATTTGCTTCAATAAAAGATCTATTTTCACAGTTGAACATATATGTTCAAAAAGGTTGAATAATAACTTAATGTGTCAATATTATTAGTGTGTTTAATAATATTTTAGAAATAGAGTATAATTTTCGTACTCTTGTTGTATAAAAGATATCAATTCCAATTCAAAAACTTATAATATACACGAGACTTGAATCATCACACAACAAACACAATTGATTGAACGCAAAATAAAAACTGATCCTCGTCACGTATAATGAATTATCTTTCAAAGAGGCATTGCAATGTCAGGTCTTCATTTATTCGCTGCTTATCAAAAACTATTAAAAAAGACAAAAATAATTCTCGATGGGGATAGAATAGTGAGAAGCAGCGCGTCCAATTTGACGTGAAACGTCATTCGAGTATCGATGGATAATACACGAGCAGATTTCTCTTTTAACGAAGACGACGTTTCTCTAACTTTTCGAAAACACGTCAAGTGTTAAACAACCTGATCGAAAGTTCGTGAAAACGTAAAGACGCGTCGGGCTTCGACGTATATCAAAAGAAATTTTTCCACTAACTTACCTTCGATGGGGACATTGCCGCCATTGTCGATTTATCGCTCATTGCAACATAACGCGAATTACTTTGCTCTATTTGCTCCTCGTGTTTAAGAATATAAAGTTGCTGCAGTCAGGGTACTTTGCATTTTTTTTTCTTTTTGTTTTTTTTTTTTCTCCTTCTTCTTTCTTTCCCTTTAAATTTCGCGTTACGCCGTCATGCGTTGAAAAAAGAGCGGTAGCACGACAGTCGTAGTGGGGATCAACGTAAATCAGTTGAATTTGACAGCCATTCCCAGGTACTAAGGCGAGTACGTAATATACGACTGTCACTGTATTACGGGTGGTAAATATTTGAAGTGGATGAAACGCAACAATTTTGCAACGACTGTTAACATCGAATGAATCAAAATAAATAATTGTTGTCATTTCAAGTCTGATAAATTTTCAGATGTATGATTATTTATGTAAAAAGAGCTGTGATCACGTGTGATATGTATATTAAATTGTATAGATTGTAATGTACGTTAATTTTTGACCTTCTTTGTTTCTGATTCTTTTTTCATTCTTAAATTCGTTTTAAAAAAAAAGGAAGAATAAAATAATTACATGAGACATCGTGTATATAATTGTTAATTCTTTTTTTTTTGTTTTAAGTTCAAGTCACAACTATTGTGGTTGATATTTTGCTCGTCATTTAAACAATCAATAAAAAATCGTTTATAAATCGTATATTACGAGTATCATATTTTATTTCTATAGTAAAAATGATCATAAACAAATTGTTTAAAATCGTTGCAAATGAAATATACACGCGGTTAATTTTATAAATAATTTGCGATTGCGTTGTAGACTGCGCTAAAATGGTAAAATTCATTGGTTAAATCATTTCAATTATAATGCAGTAGTTCGTAAGAACTTATTTATACATTGTACTTATATTTATAGGTAATTATATTCATATAATTATGTTTATATAAATTTCTATAAGTTTAATGTATGAATAATCAGGCTTATTGTTTGTGCAACATTCTTACGTTCTTATAATGAAATAGTTTATTATAAAGACAACTTTTTTGTTTCAGTGTCGATGTAACCAAAAGATAAATTATTGATGACTTCAGCAGAATATTTTATTAGCTTAATCACTGTATCAAGTGCTAAAAAGCTAGCTACTGCACTTGTCTTATGTTTTATTTTGTATCATGGATTAATGCACCTAATATATGGTAAGTCACTTTAAACTTTTTCGTGTAATAACATTTTATAGTTTGTTATATACTTTGCATTAAAAGTATAAATCATATGTATATATTATTCAGGTAGCGATTCTTGTAAGTGGTTATTAACAGAAGGAAGGTATAAAGGAGACAAAGAATGGCAACCTTATGGCTGTATGATGCATTATTACACACAAACGTAAAAATCTAAGTCACTCTAATATTGTTACAAATGTGTCAAAAATATTTCTTAAAAATATAATTTTTCCACATAGAGACAGCCGCAGATGTTTGAGATATCTAGCTTTCATGGGCCACCGTAATCACTTTGCATTTATTGGAGATGCTAGGATTAGACAACTGTATAAATCTTTTATATCACAATTTGTAATTGATGGGAAAGCGTCAGATCTGACAGAATTACCAGAGAATTCTGATTTAAATTTTAATGATGCACAACTTAGATTAAATGTACAATTTCTATGGAGATCTCAATTAGATAATTCTATGATAGAAGATCTTAGGAACTGGATAGTAGTTATCTATTTTAAATATAAAAACACACTAAGTTAAATTACATATACAATGGGATATTAATAATTTTTATTTTTCAGAAAACTGATGCACCTAGTTTAATTATTTCAGGCTGTGGAGCAAAAACAATTCTTGCTAATAATAATAGTGATGCTCAATTGTATTCTGAGTATAGTATGGGATTGGTAAGACTTGTGCAACCAGTGGACTTTTTAGTTAAAAAAAATACAAAATATTTATGGATGCTTCAAGATCCAGTGTTAAAAGAAAGACTGCCAGCCCAATTATCAAGCATAGGTAACAGGCAGATTAATTTATGTAATAAAGCAGCAATAAAGGTAAATTTTATTTAAGAATTTTTGTACAACTATTTTAGAAAAGTTTGCTTACATATTTATCATATACAGATACTATCTCATAGTGAAGCTCATATATGGGAAAGCAGTAAACTTGTTGGTGCAGGCGTATTAGAGCAAAGTCCAGATGGGTATTTAGCTAGCCCTTTATCTTTGAGACATAAGATTCAAATATTATTGAATACTTACTGCAATGATCATATGAATTTCGATGATGGTAGTTGTTGTAGTTATCCAGAACCAGCTACAACATTACAGCTATTAAGCTTATCTGCACTTGCTTTATGGTAATCTTTTCTATATTGCTATATTATCTGTTAAATAAATAGTAAGTAACAGTTCATTACAGTGTAGTAATTGGTGGTGGAATGTGGTTCTATAGAAAATTTTGTTACTATCGAACTGAAATTTCTTATTTGCGCGTTACTACTGTTGAAGTGGAGAATACTGAGGAAGCAGATAATTCTGAAATTATACAAATTGAGCAACCAGAAGTACAAGATTTTTATACATTAATGACATCATTGGCTGTTTTATCGATCATCTTATATTACTTTTATTTATGCGATAGGTATATAAAAACTCTTTCTTTATATGATCATATTGATAATCGCTATTAATAATGAATTTGTATTTGTATTTAGAACAAATTTTTTTATGAAGGAGAATAAATACTACAGTGAATTTAGTTTTTGGTTACCTCTTGGATACATATTGGCTCTCGGTTTATTTTTTACTGAGGATAGAGAAAGAGGTCCAAGAACTTTAAATCGAGAACAAACAGATGAGTGGAGAGGGTTGATGCAAGCTGTAGTGTTAATCTATCATGTTACTGGAGCTAAAAACGTTTTGCCCATTTATATGTATTTAAGATTAATTAATTCTGCTTATTTATTTCTCTCTGGATATGGACATTTTTGTTATTTTTGGCAGACAGGCGATGTTTCTTTAGTGAGATTTGCACGAGTACGTATTATTAAAATATTAAATATCATATATATAAATTACGTGTTATGTATCTATTTATTATTTTTCAGGTAATGTTTAGGCTAAATTTCCTAACAGTGTCTCTATGCCTTTGTATGAACAGGCCATATCAATTTTACCATTTTGTTCCATTAGTTTCATTCTGGTTTTTAGTCATTTATTTCTTAGCCTGGTTACCACCAAGAATATATTCTGGTAATCTAAACGAATATGGACCAAGAGCTTTGTTATACCTCGCACTGAAACTTTTAGGTCTTGTATCAATGATTACAATATTATATATGTCAGAGGTATTGATTTACAAGTTATTCACATTTAGAATATATACTGTAACAAAAATATACAATGTATGATCACGTAATAGGTATTCTTCGAAAAAGTGTTTGTAACAAGGCCATGGAAAGCATTATTTGTTACAACTGATGACGATATACGTGAATGGTGGTCACGTTGGAGAGTGGATAGATATAGTGTAGCTTGGGGCTTAACTTTTGGAGCAGGTCTTATAGCTTTGCAAAGAATAGATCACATTCCAGGAACTGCGTTATCATCCTTGCTAGCATTAATTTCTCTAACTGCTTATACTACTTTTACGATATTGTGTCATTCAGTATCCGAATGTGAAGAAATTCACTCATATGTTGCATTTATACCAGTAATTATCTGTGAATATAGCTTATTCTTAAATTTATTTTCGAACGATTAAATTTAAATGTAATTTCTTAATTACAGATTATAGGATACATAGCGCTTAGAAATGCATCATTAGCACTACGTGGTAAACATTCAGCTCTTTTGGCTGGCTTAGGTCGCATTAGTTTAGAAACTCTAGTCGCACAAGGTCACATTTGGTTGGCAGCAGATTCACACGGTGTACTAGTTCTATTGCCTAGGTTTCCAGTATTAAATCTTTTAGTTACGTCATTCATTTTTATATGTGCAAGTCACGAAGTAAGTAGTTAATTATTTTTATATTTATAATTCATTATGTTTAGATAGATTTGTAATGATGTTTGTAAAGTATAAAATATGTTATAATAATATTTCATTTATTTTAACAGATACATAGATTAACTCAGGTATTAGCACCATACGCAGTACCAAATGATTGGAGGCTGGTAGCTCGTAATTTGTTATTATTTATTGCAGTGCTTGTACCTATTGGTATTCATGATGGAATGTTTTGAAAGAGACTCTTCTATGATTAATAAAATTCACTGTAAAAAGCTGGTTTCATGTACATGTAAATATAAAGTATAGTAAATGTATAAGTTTGTACAATTTTATCATAAAAGCTTTGTAAAACAAAATGTTTGAAGATGATGGTATTTATTCAGTTTTTTCTTACTTTATTAATTTTTATACGAGGAAAATAAATAAGTAAAAAAACCAGAATGTTTATGTTATTTATTATTTATATATTTTCCTCTTCATTTAATTAAAGAACATGTACAGTTTAGAAGTTACTTTTTTATTTCTAAAGATAATATTACTATTTACAAATTTATTTAGATAATTTGTCTATCTAAAAATTTATTGCCTATCAAAAAGATTATTTTTTTGAACTGTGTATTAAATTATCATGTTTTACATGACTAGTATACACATCATAGCCTAGAGATATAGTATTATCATAAAGAATTCTATATTTATTGGGCAGAAAATAGAAATTAAAAGTTTGGGCTGGTGGCCAAATGATCCATTCTGCTATGTACAATCTATGTGCTTTCTGAATAATTTCATTTTTCAATTCGGACCAATTACTTTTTTCTAAAATACCTAATGTTAAAAAGAACACTGCAATACAAAGAGGAGAACAGACTAACTGATCTATAACAACTTTTTTCAAAACAATGTCAATTCTACGACCTGGTAACTTATTATCTAAATATTTGTACCAATAATGACATACTATACCAATAGTCATGCCAGATATTGCCATGTTTCTTGTTCTTTTAAAACTCCATTCATGCCACTCACCCTATAAAATATAAAATCAACTACATTATATATATTTCAATGCGAAAATCGAAAACTAAGAAAAAATTTCACACTGAAATAAATATTTTGTATAAATACCTTTAACATTTCATAATGTTGTTCTAGTACGTCTCCAACAGCAGAAAGAGAAACAGATATTGTTACATTTGTATAAAATAAATATTTTGGAGAAAATAACTTTTCTTTAATTGCAGGTATTTTATTCAAAGCTAAACTTAGATTTCTAACGATATTCATAATCTAAAAAAAGAACAAAATAACATTTGCAATAACTATAATTTTAAGGTTAAATGAAATAAGATTGAATAAGTTTATAACCTATTACATGAAGAAGGCTTCATTTAATTAAAGCAAATATTACAAAATTTATAATATTAAAATATATAATAATAAATAGACTTACAGTTAGAAATAAATATTTAGCACCGTATTTAATCTCAACATTTCTGTTAACATTTGCAAAATAGTTTTTTCACCGAATAAATATCACTCCGCATGTATTTTTACAAAATTATTACAAATTGAATTAAGTGTTCTAATGCGAAAATTTCATTTTAATCCATATACGCGACATATACTTTAGAATTACTTTTAAATGCGACGTACACTGCAAATTTAGGTCTTGTTCTATTTAGATATAAAATTAAATATGTAAATGCCGCATTCATTGAGACATACACGTGCATATATAATTTGAAGTGCTGCGTATGTACATGTATAAATAACAAAGATTATATTTATTTTGCAGATAAAAATATAAAAATGACTGTATATGAAATGCCAGATTTACATCAGAAAAGAAAGCATGAGAATACAATTAGTGAAAATAATTCTTTAATTTCAAATTGTTGAATGAAATATTTAATTTTAGTCTTGTTATACAATGCTTGAAATGTATTTTATGTATTTTAATAGTGAAAATTTTGGGTGAGTAACAGATCAATAGATTAATAAATCATTATTTGAAGTTGTATTTGTTTACAGTTAATGATTCACTACAATTCTTAGTCATCATAGAGAGTACTTAGAAACTACTGTTTTTAGAGATTGTAATCATTATTATAATTATTCATTTATATTTAACATATGGAACATTGTTTGGTGCTACAATCATGTTTAATGATTTTAAAGCATTATTATCGAGTTTAAAAAATATACAGTTTGATGTATTATCGAGTTTAAAAAATATATAGTTTGATGTATTCAAAAGAGTTAGTCATATTTTCACGTTACATATAAGTATTTTTACATTAATTTATTAATTATTATATCACATTAATTATATCTTCATGTTGTATATAAGAATTTTGCAAATACTTATATCTGATTGTTAAATTACGAGAAAAACAAATGTATGTACGTACCTAAATGAGTTCAACAATCAAATTTCGCGCGCTGACAGTAGAGATAACAGTCCGTTGATTTGGCGCCTAAACTAATAAAAATAGCGGGAGTTTACGTACGTCAGCGTACAGTTGGTTATGGCAATTGGCTCAGGCACGTCATACAAAGATTTTGAAAGTCTTCAACGGATTTCTGGCTTGTACGTATTTACTCGTATATAAGGAGGAATGTCTCAACCGTCAGTAACAGCGTATTTTAATACGCGTAAGCGTCAAGCAACTGACGACCTGCGAAGCAAGGCAAAAGTTTTGCTTCTTGATCAGGAGAGATCCAGATCGGTGAATAACCAAATTCAAGCGTCGATTAACGAGGACAATTCCGAGCCATTAGCAGGAACGTTAGCTCCGATTCAAGAGGAAGAAACAATGGGCACGAGTCCGAAGGTTATCTTAGTCCCTGCCAAGGAACCAGATGATGATCGTACGTCAAGGCCCAATACAGCTGTTCGGAATATCCAGTTTGATTCTCCTAAGTCGAGTGGCCAAAAAACGCCCAAGCACAGTACTCGCGGACGAATGATTCGTTCGCGAAAATTATCTGGCCACGAGGAAGGCCAAGCAGATATCAGGGAGAGCTTTCAGAAGCTCACCGAGGATTCCGACACTAAGAAGGTGCTCTTCGAGAAGAAGGGTGCACTGAGTCCAAGGAAAAAACTTCTAGAAACGCCTAAGAAGAACAATTACTTCACTGAGAACGATCATTTCACTAACAATGATCATTCCACTGAGAACGATCATTTCACTGAGAATAATCAATCTACTGAGAACACAAGGAATGTCTCAACTGATCAATCATTGGTTAACTGTATGACACCAAAGAAAGCTTCAACTATGGACAGTTTGGCGAAGCAGGAGTTATCCTTGAATGATATAAGAAATAAAATTAAGAAATCTTCTAAGCTTACGGAGTTGAAAGCTTCTTTGACTCGTTTTAAGAATTACGAGCAAAGTCTAGGACAGTTACACAAACAGAACGACAAGAAACCGCAAATACAGAAGTTCGAGAAGATCCAACTTGAGATACCAGTTAGGTAAGACATTTGTGAAACAAAATTATCTCTTTTGTTAATTGCATATTGTTTTAAACGTTTTTATGTAACATTCACGTTGTTGTTGTTGTAGCCCGAAAAAAGCATATAAATCTCCTAGTAAGATAATATTTAGTCCTTTGAAAGACAAGCAACTGATGAACGTCAGCCCTCAACGTAGAATTTTATTCGAGCCTAAAGAATCAACACCAAGCCCTGTGAAAGGTAGCCCAACTAAAGCACCTGCTTATCAACAATACTTAACACTTACTGAAAGTGCTACTCCTACTTTGCCATTGCCGTATCACTATAGATTTTTGGCAGAGGCGTTCAGATGCGTTGATACAGTATGTTATTTTTTATATAAAAATTTGTTTTGTTGTATTGCGTACTACATACTACGTATTTAAATACATATTATTACATTGCTAATTTTACAGATTTCCGCAATGTTGTTTAATCGTAAAGAAACAATAACTTTTAAAAAGCTGAAACCTGCAGTTCAAGAGCTGTTGCGTAAAAATTTCACATTGGAGCATTTAGCACAGATCAAGACCATTTTCCCGGATGCGTACGTTTACAGTCAAGAAAAGCATCATACATTTGGTTCCTCGTCTAAACAAGATAAATATGAATTAATTCTAACACCGATTGTTGAAGAAAGAGATGGAAGAAATACCCCAGATGCAGATGATGTTTTGAAAACAGCATTACAAGTCAGTATGGGACCGCGAGTGTTGCTTGATAGACGAAGGAAATTTTACAATATCTTGCTTGGTATTTAATTTAATATAAAATTCTTTGAGAAATTTTTATTGCAAATATCATCTTTTTTATTTTTTTAAATGCAGATAAAGTAAAGGACGAGCACGAAAAATTTTTAGTTAATTTGGAAACGCCAATGTATGTTCCAAAAGAAAAAATTCTGCGTTGGCATCCTGAATTTGATGTTGAAACTTGTAAATCAATTGGACAATCTGATTTACCACAACCACCTAACGTGGATAGAATGACAAGTGCAAAGGATGTTCTTGGTAAAAAGAAAGCGTATACTTCATTTATTTTCATGTATTTTGATTTTCCTACTAATCTCATTAATTTTTTTAGACAAAGCAAAATCTTTATTCAGTTGTGGCACACGCATGGAAAAAGCGTTGCAACGATTGGCAGAAGCAAAGATGACTTCAAAGACTCTTTCTCCAAAGAAAGATGAAGTAAATACTGCTACTCAAACCGATGTGCAAAAAGTTAATATTACTATCATGGATACTCCACCAATTACACCTACTGTACACAATAATTATCTTACTAGTGCACTAAAAGGCATACCAAAGGCTCTTCTTGAAAAGGTAAATATTTTCATTTTTGTATTTTATTATATCTTAATAAATTTTTGTATTTTATTATATCTTAATAAAAAAAAAAAAAAATGTTATACATCAGATTCGTGCTAAACAAGCTGCTAAAGCGTTGGAAGCTATGACACGTTCACCAAATGCTGAAAAAGAGGCTATAATGTATTCAAGATTACCTGAATTGGTTAAAGTTTTGCGTAACATTTTCGTAGCTGAGAAAAAGGGAGTTTTAACATTGGAATTTGTAATTACTAAGTTGGAAAATTCCCTTAAAGCTAAATTAACTCCTGCTGAATTAGAGGAGCATTTACGTTTATTGTGTAAATTGCTACCTACATGGACTAGTATACATAACGTGCGAAAAGTAAATTATTTGAAATTGCAGAAGGAAATCGATCTTACAAAGGTAATAAAAAAATTAGAAATCATAGCTAATGACAAAGTAAAATCATCATGACATTTATGATGTAATGATTATTCCCTTTTTTTTCTTGCTTCAAATTGAATTATATATATGCATTTAATTCTGATCAATTCATTTGCAAAATATTTGCTGTTAGTTATTATTGCACTACGTTCTCAAACAATTTTATTTTAAGTAGTTGTGATTAAGAAGAAAAGAAAGTAAATTAAGCTTTTTTCTTGCTCGATAAATATCTGATTTATTTTGTGCTAAACATGGGTTAACTATTTGTTATACTTTATATAAATTCATAATATTTTTATAAAATGTATTATATAATGGTAATACAATTTTTTATATAAGTATCCAACACTATCTTTTTTTCTTTGCTTTATGAAAAAAGTTATTTAACTCTTTCCAGTCCAAATTATTTTTCAATTTTTTTTTCAACTAGTAATTAAAAAATGTCGAGTGTGACTCGGCCACAGACGAGATATATGAATATATGATCATATGATCATATGCATATCTCTTCTGTGAAGTTATAGACGAGGTATATGAATAAATATTGCATCCGATGTATTTTTTCGGTAATAAGGTCCTCAGGACCTTACTATTTTTGTGTTACATCCTGTTGTACCGATTTTACGACCGCAGCACTACTAGTAGTAAAAATCCTTTATTAAAAATCCTTTTCCCAATGTTAAATTTAAAATATTATGTTTTTTATATTTTCATTTCCTGTCGAACAGAACAGTATGAGACAAGATAAAATTCTCTTAGAATGCACCTCGATAAGTATGCTTTGAATAAGAAATCTGAAACCTATGTACCTTTAAATATTTTGTCAGGAATTCGTCAGGCTGAATCGTTCTTAGGTTTGGTCAAGGATCAAAGTACAAAGTACAAAGATATACGTATTTTTACGTCAAGAAACTACGGCGTGAAAAATCTATTTTGTTCCAATAAAGTTCTGTGAAATTGTAAAGTATAAGTTTTCCTCTTATTCCATGATCTGCAAAAAAGACGTTCAACACTGGTTGATTTTGCGAGATATATAAGAGTATATTTCGTAGATATGTTTATATTTTTCATTAAATTTTCATGAAATATCAAAGAATTATATTAAATAAATAAGAAAGTTCTTTTATTGTCATAATATTGATAGACAAAGTAGTTTATAGAAAAATTTCTAATATTTTGATTAATAAGCGTAGTTTTTAACTAATGAATTATAGAATTTATGTCATCTGTCATAACCAATACACTGCATATTAATATTTTAATATTTAATATTATTCTATATAATAAAATATACAATTTGAAAATTTTGTTAAAAAATACGTAAAACCATGTATTAATAATTTTAAAATTTTAACTTATTATATATTAAAAAAGTTGTGATAAATCCGTGAAACATGGATAGACTTCTTTCTGATATAGAGTAGAATGATTTCGGTTACTTTGTCTACTAACTTCACAATTCGCTATTGAAAGTTTGACAGTACTGTAATAGGTTTCAAAATCATGTTGGTTCATTCACTAGTTCCCCAACTCACCATTGTCTAAACGTAGAGTGCGCTAAAGAACCAGTGATTTTTTAGTGTATCGGTATTTCAGATCACGGGCCACGAAAATTCGTAAGATGCAATGTCTATTCATATACCTCGTTTGTGGTCTATTTATATACCTTGTCTGCGCCTCGTTTGTGTCAGTGGCAAAGAATTAATGTATCTGTAGTTGATATATCGAATATGTACCATCGTTTGTAAAATATGTTTTCAACATATTTAACCGATGGTAAAGTAGATTAGTAGAAGTTTGTTCAGGGGTTTAATGCATGTTAACCTCTTTCATTGTTTGTTGCTTTATGCAAATACAAAAATATTGCACGTTAAATCTTGTATACATATCTATATATATACGTACAATTAAAAGTTATGTTTTTAACCAATGTGTTATGTAAAAAAGTTAAAAGCAAGTGAGTATACAAATGCAAATGTAGTTTGATTTTAAGTATGGAGGTTAGGTTTAGGTTAGGTTTTTGATACGTATTTTTCTAACATTTGTCTCTTTACTTTCGATTAACACTATTATAACAATTTATCGTGAAGATCAAATTATTTACAGTGAAAATGTTTCTTACTACATGTATGGATATTTATACATATTTATATTTATATAATCAATGACCCAGTTGCAAATAAAGTTCAATTTCATAACTTGCTTTTAGACATATTTTGGTACTAGTAGAAAGTGTAGCCAGTGGTCACAAACGTATTAAAATGCGAGAGAGATTAGGAGATAAAATAGAAGAAGTACAGTTTGATCCTTATAGTAAGTTTATTGTGATATCCTACAATTATTACATTTATATTCATTTACATTCCAATTTATATTTAAAAGTTCTTTATTTTTAGTTCGAGCAAATGTGATCTACCGAGAACTGAAGAAAGTTAAGAGTTTATAAATGTTAATTTAATAAACAATTCCATCATGATAATTTGTACCAATATCGCTTGTAAAACTATAAAGCGCATAGATATTGCACAGAATGAATAAAATAATATTAAGTTAACAGAGAACATTCCTGTTATGTTGTCTTCATTGAGTCAGCTTATGAAAAACATAAAATTTTTGCTATGTCAAAAGCGAGACTGATGAACGTTGAATTTTTCACTTTCATTTAATAGATGTACAATTGATGTTCCAGTTTCCAGAAACACAACAGGTGCGTTAATTCCACAAATTTTCATTTATCACAGGAAACTAATGAATTCCAAGGTAGATAGATACTGTTTGTTTTTCAGTTCATGTTTTCTAATTTTTAATCTGTCAAAAATTAGCCAGAACGATGTCCAAATTCATATTCTCACGCAGTCGAGAGAGAGAGAGAGAGAGAAAGAGAAGAATTAATTGTCGTACGAAAAACAAGATGTCATAGTATGCAGTCTTGAATAGAGCGTTGAAGAATCGCTCGAGTTGCGCTGCCAGAAAGAGTGAGAGAGAACAGACAGCGAGGCAGAAAACGGGGGGAGAGAAACGGACGATCACGAAATCGAGATTGGGGTAGGTTCCCTTTGATCCTTAACAAGGAACGCAAAGTTGTATTATTTCCACCTGGATTTCAAACGGTTTGAAATTCACGAGGCGTGAAACACGGCTCCATTCTCTTTCTCTGTTTCCGCTTTTCCCCCCCACCCGCCGACTCGCGGGCTCTTGCGCCCCTCTCTTTCTTGTTCTTTGCTGCTTTTCGGCAGCGCGGGAGCAACTCCGGCGTCGTTCACTGATGTTGCCAATTCAATTTCACCCGGCGGAGCATTGTCGTTGGTAGAGAAGAGGGTTGCAGCCGCGGAAAGGGTTCCCTTCTCAACTGAGTCCTCTCTATCTTTCGCGATTGTGCATCCGACAGCTCCTGACATCTACGTACCCCGTGATCTTTCCTTCTACTTTGCGCGAAATTTTTCTTCTTTTTCTTGGTTCGATGTTTTAAAAGCATTTCAACGTGAATGTATTTTTTTTTTTTTTTTTATTGTTCGCGAGTTTGAGATTCGAGCCTAATTTCCTCGAACAGTCCTCCAGGGTGGTTGTTTAAATTTTCAAATTTTTGGCGGTGAGCGAGTAACGGTCAACTCGGAATAATCAACGGGCAGTAGATCGGTCACCCTGGTGAAAAAAAATACCAGAGTCTACGGGGGGGGGGGGTGAGGGAAGTTAATTCGGGTGCAAAGCGGAGAAAAATCAGGAAACAAACGAACGGGTTTTTTCACCCCCTTCCACCCGGCACAATGAGTTTCGAAGCGGTGCGCAACAGCGAAATTGTTAAAACGTCCGTTGTTTTATGGTTGACTCGGTAGAGCAGCCGGTAAAGGAGGAAACAGTACGCAACGAAAACCGAGGTCGGGAGAGATGGAGTGGAGCGTGAGCAGAAAGAAGAAAGGGCGAGAAAAGCAAAACAGAAACGAAAGGAAAAAAGGAGAGAGAGAGAGAGAGAGAGAGAAAGAGAGAGAAACGAGGCTCGTCTGGGCCTTGGCGCGTTTCAGTTGCCTCGCGTTCGAGGGCGTTTTTCGCCCCGTGAGTTGTTCTTTGCTTATTACAGTGTGTGCACTGGGCTCGAGCTCGCTAAAGTGGTTTGCTGCTAATTAACTGCGTTATTTTTACAACTCTCTCTCGCTCCCATCCTACCTCCCACGTCTCCTACCGCCCCCTTTCCCGCTTTCCTTCCCCCAACTGTTCTCCCACATTTGCAATGGGGTTCAATAATTCTGCGGCCGCAACGCCCTCTCTCTTTCTCTCTCTCTTTTTCTCTCTTTCTCACTTGCACCCTCTTATTCTGTTTTCACGTTTCTTGTCATACATTCTTCGTTTGCACGTTTTTTCGCTATATAAAATGGAAAACACATTCGCGACTTATCGTCAAGAAAAAAACCACGTACATGTGTGTTAAGATTGGAATTACCAAATCAATCGAAATGAGTAATGCGCAGTCATCCTAATTTCTTTATCATTCTACCGCGAACTCATCGTATTTATTATTACAACTTCAGGCCAACTTATGAGCTGAAAAATTTACCGAGGAGTAAAAAGAATATGGTCAGTTTTATTTATGGGAGTACTTGGAATTATTTTTATATAAAAATATCTCCGAGTGAAAAAAAAAAAAAAATGTATTTACTCCCGTAATTGAAAGTTTTTTCTATTTTATTTGCTTGTTCCCTTGAATTTCGTGGAATGTACGATTCTGAGTAAGAAGTAAAAATAAAACGAGGATTTTTCGTGAAAAAACGGTTCTTTCCACGGACTTTTTTTGCTCACACTTACCACTACCTTAGTACTTGCGGCTGGTTTAATTTTACCGGCGTATTTTGTATATTTCGAGTGCGCGTTTGTAGAAAAATTAACGAGAATATCGGACGGTTTTTAAGTACTCCAGTTTGAAATGGTTTTCAAGCGCGCAGCTACTCCACCGTCATTTTGCAATATTATCAAAAAGCAAGTATCATTGACCGTTCGAAAAGTGATTAAAAATGAATCGGCAAACCGTATATATCGCTCCGACATTTCGTGCAACGAGAGATTTTCAACTTCAAATCACGTTGAGAAGAAAAAGAGAAGATATTTCGAAATTTACGTTTGGCCAGTGAAACACTAACGATCTTCACTGGGAAACATTCTGTCAATCATAAATTGAATAAAACTGCCGCATTGAACTATCTTCTCTAAACTAAAGCAATTTCTTTTACGCAATAGCTATATAGCTTTATATTGTCTAAAAGATAATAAAAGTAGATAGAACAAAATTCATACGAAATTAACTAATACTGGAACCTATTAGATCTCATAGAACTGGGATCTATATTTACCTAATATTATATTATATCTTATACTAAATATATATTAGTATAAAATGTACATCTATCATTATAGATAATTAATATGGTATAATGACAACAGATGTACATGATTACCGTTTTTTTGTTTCAGTGGAAACAATTTCGCTTCGATAGAATTAACTACATTTATATATCCTCAGTAATTGTAAAAATAAAAAAATCTAAAAAATCCTGCCGTTTTCGTAGGTTTTTTTTTAACGAACTTGATGTATTAATTTAGTATTACTACTATAATCATTTAGTAGCCAGTTAGTACATATCGTAGATAACGCTAATTTTGCGCGAAGCACGAGACCGTTTGATGGATCATTTACAATGATGGACACCAGTGAAACGTTGTCCATCGACGATATTCGAATATCGAAATAACTTTAATACCTTAATATCAGATTCGTGAAACGACTATTGGTTACGGCTGCCGATGGAAGTGCTCGGAGGCAGAGGAGTCGAAGGTCGTTTGTATAGGTATCTCTCTGCCGGGTAGTCGTGGCACCCTTCTTTTCTCCGCCACGAAAAGGCTCTTGAAATAAATTGAAAATGGCTGGTATCGCCCCGCTCTCGGATAAGTGATACCTACATCACCTACACGCACATCGGTCACCACAGAATTCCACGGGTGTTCTCTCACGTATTCAATACGATCCATTCAGAAGCGGATCCGAATCGTCACGAAAAAAGATGATCAATTAAAAACCATGTTAAAACGTTATACTGATCGCGTGCCTCGCCGAACCACGGAAAAATCAAACTAAATATATACATACAAAAGAAGGGGCGGTGAACAGTTAATCGAAACTTCAATTTTGATGCTTATATACTAGCTCTGTTTTACATTCTCTGTTTTCTGGTAATATTGAAAGAAGCGAAAAATTGAACAGCTGTACACATAGTAATATTAGATAGAAATGATTCTACGTATGATTTACGTAGATATTTAATGATTACATACTTTTCGCTTCGTTCAAAATTAAATCATCATACATTTAATATCACCAAACAGGAACGTAATATCCTAGTTTTACTAGATGGCTATGAATTAGTCGGAATATCGATCCAAGATTCATAATGTCTTTACAAAACGTATATAGTTTTGGACTCGACTGTGACGCTAAACTGGCAAAAAAGCAAAGCTTCCATTCACAACCTGTAATTACCTAGCTAAATTATACACGAAGTGTACAATGAGTAATTGAAAGAAATTTCAACAGTAGTTGCAAATTGACTAGAAAGCATTCTTTCCGTCTTGAACACGGTGAATCGGAAATTTGGATATCACCGGTGTGCTTCTATCACGACAGATGGTCTGTCTCATTATTCGGTGAAATCGAGCTCGTCGGAAATTTATGTACCACCTCGCACTCTCCCC